TTGTTGTTGTTGTTGTTGTTGTTGTTGTTGTTGTTGTTGTTGTTGTTGTTGTTGTTGTTGTTGTTGTTGTTGTTGTTGTTGTTAAAAGCACAATCTCATTGCAGGGAAAAATAAAAACTACCTTCACTTTAAATATTTTATGGTAATTATTAACACGTGTCCTTCGTCAACGTACATACATATAATTGTTTCTTTTTGTCCTTAAACAATCTACAACCCATGGCAAAAACTATCTCATCCCTTTTAAAGGATGCTTTCTATGTAATTTCATGTTAGAGATAAATAATAGACATGCCACAAAAATTAAGAGACAATAAAAACACTAATCAGAATGATTTCTTTATATGTAGCAGCACCATCAAAGTTGTTTAGGTACAGGGAAAGTCTGTTTTTTGTAAATCTAGTAAAATCTAGTTTAATACAACCAAAAAAACCTTACAATCAGAATACTAATTAAATGTAATTGTAAATTGTCCAGCTAAATATTTGGAACAAATTTAACACAAGTCAGGACAGAGGGAGTGAACCTTCAGAGGACACACACACATATTTTATTGGATTTTTATTGTGTGTAACCAACTGTCTAATTTAACCATGTCCTTCTTAGTGTCAGAGGAGAAACAGGTCCATCATGGACCACCGTCTCCAGGAGGCCACGGGACCTGATCCTGCGAACATGGATGTGATGCTGAACCTCTCTGAAGAGTTCAGAGCGAAGTGCAAAACACTGATGGAGGAAACTAGCAAAGCTTGCAAACGTCTGCAGGATGAGGACAGTAGGCACCTCAGTAAGCAAGGATGGACTTGGTTCATAAACAGAGGGAAACCTTAGCAGCTGTTACTAAGGGGATTGTAATTTTATTCTTCTCCACTGTCCAGATCAACGAGTTCGAGATATCCAGTTTCTGCAGAAGGAGATGGAACTGAAACTGGGCGAGATTATTCTGGAGGCTGATGTTCTCGTTGCCTTACAGAGCAGAGTGATGAAAGCCCTGGAAGTGTGCAAAGAGTCACTGAGGGTCAACATTCTCTGTCAGGAGGATAGGTGAAGTTAGAAACTGATGATAAAATAATGAAAATGTTACATTTCAGGCTTGTCTGCCCTTGCACACATAGCTGCCTGAGAAATCTGACAGCTGTCATTAGTTTTTCTCCACATTGTTTTGGTTATTTTACAAGCTTGGCAATGTTTTTCATACAATTGTTTTTTTTAATAAAACAACATGATAGTATTGTTTGCATTTCGACATGTTAATGTCCATATTTAGTGCTGTCCTGAATTTAGTAGGGCAAGGGAACTTTAGCAGTAAAGTGGAACCTTTATTCAGAAGCGTTGTTTCCAGGTTGGTTTGACGGTGAACTTCCTGTTCGCTTCAGATGCAATCTGGATGCTAAAGGCAATGCTCATGTTGTCCTTACTTGTTCCTGCTTTTATTATTCTTCAGAGCAACACCACTGTTACAGCAGTCCATTAGAGACCCGTAACACACACGTTGCTGCTTGATAAATCTGACAGCTGTCATTAGTTTTTAACTTTGTGCATGAAGTTTAAATTAACACTTTTTTCTTACTGCCTACTTCGGTGAAATTTATTAAGTTTATTGGTACCACTTTACACTAAGGCTCCCCTTATACAGTATATGTTTTATAGATAGGTTATTAATTTATCTGTAAACAAGGGATGCACCGATATGAAAATTTCAGTCAATATCAATATCCGATATAATTATTGCTATTATGGCTGATAACAAATATTTACCGATATTACACAAACACACAAATATATTATACATATACGCACAAACACATTTATCTTTTTTGATACCATGAATAAAGGACCAGACCTCTGACATGGCTTTACTTCAGTTATTATCACTATCATGATCAAACAGATGCTGCTCAATGAACCATCTCCCCTCCCAAAACAGAAACACAAAGATAAAAAGTGGGAAATCAATATCGGATGTTCATATCGGGCCAATACGATATTATAAAATAATGACCAATACCGGCCGATACCGATATTAATGCCGATATATCGTGCATCCCTACTGTAAACACTTTATAAATCATTGAGAAATGTTTATTATGCATTAATTAAGGACAAGAAAGAGACAAAACGGTCAGTTCCCTTTCAGTCAATTCACTCGGTACAACATCATGTATGGGAACCACGCTCCTGCGTGTCCTGGCTGAAGCCACCTCTAATCACGCCTTTAGGCAGGTGACATGATGACGACAGATGTCAGGCTCCGCCTGCACATATAAATACTGTCGCATCACCGTCACTCCTTAGTTCTACTGCTCTTCACCTCGCAAGAACACCTCTCCCAACCTAGCTAATTAGCTGCTGCTAATTAGCTTTGTTTGCTCGAAGGTTCTCAAATTTAGTTTAACAGCTTTTGTTGGTGTTAGCTGCAGCTGCCTACTGGTAACTGTGTCTGCCCGCGGAGTGCTAACTTTGAGACACCTTTTTTATCTCGACGAAGGAGTGAATTTTGTGGTTCGGGATGAGCACAAAATTACTCAAGAAGAAGCAGAAGTCTTCAGTTCGCCCCTGTCCCCAGGGGGGCGGCTTCTCGCTCCATGAAAAGGACCAGCACGAGGCTTGCCCGGTCTGTTTGGGGATCGTCCACGCTCGTAGGGCGTTGACGGAGCCCGAAGCGTGTGCGTTTTGTCGCCTGCTTCGACGCTCAACACTGGAAAGACGGGTTAAGTTGGAGAAAGTGCTGGGCGAGGCTGCAGTCGTGCGCCAGGACCCTTTCCTCTCCGAGTCTAGCAACCCGGTTCTGTCCGAGTCTGACGAGGAGGAGCTCTCGGTCGAAGTCCCCGCTTCCAGCTGGGCAGACCAAGTGGAGTATATGGAGGGGTTAGCCGACGAAGAGGAGGAGGCCTCCCAGTTTCATCTGGACCTCCACCACGGAGGGGAGGACGTGCTGGATATCGGCCTGGATATTCATGGTCTGTCGGAAGACGACGATGAACCCGGTCCGAGTCCAGAAGTCCCCGCTGCTGCGGGTGCAGACCAGGACACGTCTTTTCTCTCATTGTGTCGTCGCGCGGCTCAGAAACTGGAGGTGGAGTGGCCTGCCCCACCTCCTGCACAAAAACCGTCGAGGCTCACTGGATTTTTCCTCCCCACTGAACCGACCACGGTGAAGAACCGCCTCCCCATGTTCCCAGACTTCGTCTCGGAACTAACGTCCTGCTGGACCAAACCTCTGTCCACCCGCGTCACAGTAC